AAGCCTTCGAAGTATGGTTGGAAGACAGAGGGGCAAGGATTGGGTTGAGCGTGGGAATTAGTTGGAAGGCCCCATGTGCCCTCCTAGTTTAGGCTTGATCCTGTAGGCAAATGACAGTCACCAAGCAGAGGAAGCTGAGAGCAGAATGTGGTACTTTTGAGCTACATCAAAATGCCGACTTCGAAATAGAATTATGTTATCACATCACTTATTCAACTTAAAATCGGAGTGACTGTTGCATGCAAGAAATGACAACAGAGTGAGTTTTTGCATCGTTCTTTACTGTGCAGACTTCCTGCCAATATCACCTTCATCACCTGCACATGATGGATGTCTAACAGTAAAAATGGGTTTTTGCCTGATTCTTASTTAAAATTGCTCTAAGTATTTGGTTTTGAAAGCTTCTAGAAAACTCGTGCTTTTTGTCCGTTACTGCTCTGCAGGATTGGTGAGGCCAGTGTACTGCTTTCTCTGGGGCTACCAAGGCAGCGAGGATAAAAATAGGACAAACTTTAAGAATCCCAGATATTTTCAGATAACAAAGACTGATTTATGCAGGCCCGCTTCGTRCTCTGACCAAACATAGAGAAGCTTTTGTGCTGTGATTAGCAAGGGTGCTGATGTCAGTTCTCTTGTCAAGCATCAAGCTTTATTCTGTAGCTAAATTGTGCTTTGTACCATAATCCAGAGAACCTTTGTATCTGCCTTATTTAAGTGTGTAGTTTATGTAATTGCTTTTGTTTTCCAGTTTCATCGGTGCCAGATTCAATGAGAGTGACTCATTTTGCGACCGAGACAAACATTCACATTTGGACCATGTTAAAAATAAATAAATAAGTGGCAGGTGCTGCTTGGTGAAAATTCTGTGTTTTAGTGCGGTCATTTCCTGCTGGAAGGGTTCACGTCTGGAATCATGTCTCAGCCTCTGCAGTCGCTAGCCCAATCTCTCTTACTCCTCATTTTATGGCTGTTCCTTTCTTGGCTCTTTCTTTTAGTTTCTAAAGGCTTTGTTGAATTTGAACAATGGGATTTCAACAGGAAAGCAAAGGAATAGATAAGAGAAACCAAAAGAACACACACACACACACCTTCTTTTGTTTCTCTGAGGTGTTTATGGATGTGCTTTGGTACAGTGAGGTATCATGTCAAGCCCTGGAACTCTTTTCTCCAGGGGAAGGGGTTTTGAAAGCACTCCTTTCTTTTTATTGTGACCTGTACACCAAATTTAATATTCTCAAAAGTTTTACAACTTTATTTTCTTAGGGGAATTCTACTTGTTTATTGTACAAATATTTCTGTGTTCCAGGCACTGGACCATGTGTGGGGTATGTAAGGGCGTATCAAGCAGACATGGTCACATTATCTTCTTGAACCTTTCATCCTGGCTAGGGGGTTAGAGGCTAAATAAATACATACAAAGAAAAACTGAATTGCAGACATATATAAATCACAACAGAGGCAAGTAATAGGGTCCCAAAAATTATACCCTGCTTTACCTTGGGGTTGGTTGGGTTGAGGGTGGTTGGGGAAGGAAAGGCTGAAGATAGGAATTGGTCATCCAAAGACCAAGGGAGAGAACAAATACTGGATTTAGAAAACAGCATGTGAAAAGTCCCTGAGCAGAAAGGAGTTTGGCCTCCTGTAAGCCACAATATCAAAAAAGAGAAGTGGCAATTAAGAGAGAAAAGATAGAAAACTGCATGTAAAAGATTATGAATGAATCATACAGGCACAGCTGTATGGCATTACTTAGAGGCCCAGAAGCCTTTGAGATCCTCATAAAATGCAGTATAGAACCTGATGCCTGTACTACTTAGCCTGAGTCATCAGGGAATGGAGGAATTATGTGCAATAAATTATGTAGTAAGGCATTTTAAAAAGATTTCCTTACAAGACATTAAAGTTTTAAAAAGTCAATTCTGTATTTAAAGACAGAAACTCCACTATCTAGAAAAATCACTAACCCAAAGATAGGATTCCTTGATGGACCTAGATAAATAATCTTCTTTTTTTCTTTTCCCTTTATTTGTCCACTAATCTCTCAAGTTTACTGCTTGAGAGGTGTGTTAATCAGCTCTTACTGCTGGGTGTGGTAGTGCATGTAATCTCAGCAACTCAGGAGGCCGAGGCAGGAGGAATCAACCTAGTGAGATCCTGTCTTAAAATAAAAGGGGTGAGGATGTGGCTCCGTGGTTAAATATCTTTGGGTTCACTTCCTGGTACCAAAAAAAAAAAAATCAGCTGATACTGTGACAACACATCTGAGAAAAACAAGGAGGAAAGATTTATTTTGGCTCGAGGTTTCAGAGGTTCAGTCCATGATCAGCGGGCTCCATTGTTTCCCGGCCGGTGATGAGGCCATACCTCCTGGTGGAAGGGTGTGGCAGAGCAAAGCAGYTTACCTTGTGGTGGCTGGGAAGGAGAGAGTCAGAGAGGTGGAGAGGGAGAGGAAGGGACTGGGGACAAGAAATACCCTTCCAGGGCATGCCTCAAGTGACCTACTCCCTCCAACTAGACCCCACCTTCTGCGGTTTCCACCACCTCCCAATGGTCCATTCATTTATGAAGCCATCAATGGATTAATCCACTGATGAGCTGAGAGCCCTTGGTCCAGTCACTTTCCCAAAGCCCCACCTCTGAACAGTGTGCACTGCGGACCCAGCCTCGAACACGGGAGCCTTTGGGAGACCTTCCAGATCTAAACCCTAACAATAGGGAAGTATCTGTAGAGAACCAACTCACAGATGGTTTCTGTTTATTTTTAAATAAATAGGAGTATATTGAATGAGTGGATTTTTATAACCCAGTACCAGATTTGTGTGAATCTAACATGTTGTGACTTTTTAATATTATCTAAAACATCTATAGAACTCTATTGTTCTTTCTCCTTCTGACACCAATTCTGAACTTTTTCATTTGAACTGCAATAAGAAATTAACTCGATGTTTTAACATTCTGTGGCCTTGGTGATTTTTTCTTTCTTTCTTTCTTTCTTTCTTTATTTTTTGTAAATTTGTTAAAGGATTGCAAGTTTTTCTGTAAAGGAGTGCTTATCCACTAAGCAATATTTCTGTAGCTACTTTTCCAGGGTGGCTGTGTTCCAAAGTATTTATTTTCATTTATGTTAAATATTTTCTCCACAATTTTTTTTTGTTATTTTACACAAGGCATTTGTTTATTTATTTATTTATTTATGGCTTGCTTTTCTTTTTTAAAAATTTTTTTCTCCACAATTAGAAAACACCTCGAGGGTAGGAATCATGAATTTCAAACTTGTCTCTCTTCCCCAAAGTACCTTGTACAGTATCTTCAGAAAATTCAATTACTTGTTGAGTAATTCATTGATTTTCTTTAATGGATATAATTTAAAGAATCTCTTAAAACATTAAGCCTAAGGGTATCACCCACATTATGTTGGTTGTCAATTGTCCACATTACTAGAAGGCTGTGTGGCTGGTTTGTGGATTGCTCAGGGTCCCTTCTTCCTTATTTTCTGTCTCTGCCTCAGATCTTTGCCAGAGCTTCCTAGCCCCTCCATTAGGGAACCACAACTCAAAATCAGTTCAGATCAGAAGTTTATTATACAGTTTAGTGAAGATGGAGGCAAAGACGAAACAGCTACCTGAGAARTGTGTGTAGATTTTAGTTATCGATCCTCTTTTTTTCCCCTTTCACATTTTTTTTCAGAATACAGTGAAGCCATTTTTGAAACTGTCACTACAATACCTTTTGTGTTATATTTGCCAGATTTTATGAAACAAAAAAACACTCTATCATGTCATACTCATGGCTTTCTCTATTGCCTTGATGATTTTAAACTTGGTCAATAGTTTCTTATAAATAGGTAATATATGTTAATGAAGACAGAAATGCTGTTTGGGGGGAAATTGGCCTATGTTAACAGCCCCAGCAGGAGCTGTCTGTCTTGGTCTGATTAGACTGTAGAGCATGGAGCTCGTATACCGTGATGAGTAAAATCTCTAAAATTCCTGTAGGCACAGGGCTGTCATCATACCAGTTGTCACTGGAAAAGAGACTTTCTCTTGCTGGTCCTAATTTTCCAAGACTAAAGGATTGTGACATTGTAACTGGTGCTCAGAGTCTGTGGGTGAGTAGGAGGAACAGTGAGAACATGTGCCTTCAGTGGGGTTCATAAAATGTCACGGTTCTCTGCCCTTCCACTTCCCGGAATGTCCTCTTTGGGCAGTCTAACCTCGAATGTTCTGTCAATAAGAGTACAGAGTGTCTATTAGTAGGTGATTGAGACTTGTGAGCCTGAGAGGAGACAATCTGAGTTTTGTTTCTAGGCACAGATGTTAGGGTTAAGGACTGATAAAGAAGACTCCATCATTGGATTCTGCTTTTATTATTTGATGAAGCACCTTCATGTGTGTATTTTATAGCAAGATATTAAGGCATGGAAAATCATTGCTTTTAAAAAAATGTGGTAAAATATATACAACATACAATTTACCATTCTATTTTTTAAGAATACTGTTATTAAGAACATTCACATTATTGTACATCCATGACCACTATCCATCTCCAGAATTTCTTCATCTTTCCCACCTGAAACTCCTCATTCTCCCTTCCTGCTGTGAATGTGACTACTCTAAATACCTCACATAAGTGGAATCATACTGTAGTTGTCCCTTGGTGAATGGCTTATTTCATTGAGTATCATGTCCACATTAATTTTTCCCAGCATCATTTATTGAAAGCATTACTTTTTTATATGTAGTGAAAAACCAAACCTTCATTGGTTTGTTGACTTGATATATCATAGGATAGTTAATAGAAGATACAAGTATATATATCAGAAAGTTCTTATGAGAGATCAATAAGCTTTGGTGTTCAGAGTGGAAGATCATCCTATGATAACTGAAAACCATTGTGACTTTTCTAGATGGTGCATTTATAATATTGGCTTGATAAATGTGTAGCTTCTGAAAATTTTTCTCTGCAATTAATACTAAGTGGTGATTTTGGTTTTTTCCTAGGCATGGAAGAGGAGGTGGTTTGTGTTACGCAGTGGCCGTTTGACTGGAGATCCAGATGTCCTGGAGTATTACAAAAATGATCATGCCAAGAAGCCCATCCGTATCATCGATTTAAATTTATGTCAGCAAGTCGATGCTGGATTGACATTTAACAAAAAGGAATTTGAAAACAGCTTCATTTTTGATATCAACACTATTGACCGGATTTTCTACTTGGTAGCAGACAGTGAGGAGGAGATGAATAAGTGGGTCCGCTGTATTTGTGATATCTGTGGGTTTAATCCTACAGAAGAAGGTAAGTTCAAGATTTTATTACCCGACTTCAGTTCTCCGTTTTTTGCGATGTATTTAGAGGTGCCATAAAACTCCTTGTTAATTCAGTTATACGCTGTTTTGTTTTGCAATAGGAACCTGACATTTGGGGAAATCATGGAACTCTTCCTTAATCAGTGTGGACAGAAACTTTTTTCCCCACAGGTTTGAGAGAGACTTAAGAACCATCGCAGGGCAGTGGATAAGTAATTGTCCTGAGGAARAAGGGGTCAGGAGGTCATTCTTAAGTGCATTTATTGAGTTTTGACATTAATATTAAGTTGGACTATTTAATAGTGTTGATATATGACTGTTTTTACCGATTAAAATGTCAAAAAATTTATGCTTCATCTCAGTTCTTTAGGCATTATTTTAAAAACCACATTAGGTTTTAAAGTTATGAAGTAGCCGAGGTGATTATCAATACCTAGGAAAAGCAAATGAGAATCAAGCACAAAACACAATGAAAAAGAGCACAGAGAAGGAAGAGGGGGCTCAAGGTATGGATAAGCAGGAGTAGAGGACAGTTTCCCAGGAGAGGAGTTGCGGGTTGCAGGCTTGGAAAGAAGTAATGTTTCCATGTGGGTGGAAACAGCCCTCCAGGGTTAGGCACCTGGGAAGGAAAGAACTCCGAGGTGGAATAGGATCACACTGTGCAGAAGGGCCATGGGTAAAAGAGGCAAAGGGACAGCTGCTTTCAGATCTTGACTTTCCTGGAAAGAGCTCAGCTGAGTGGGTGGGGGTCTCAGGTGGAAGTCTTGTTCAGGTACTCTCAGAGCTGTTTGACCACTGAGTCCCTGTCTGCTTCTCTTCCTTTTCAAACATGCACTCAGAACCTGTGTAGGGGACTTCGATACAGATTTAGTTTTATAGAGCCAAGAATCAGAAATGAAGGTGTACCGAGGTCTTCAACCTTGGTGTCTTCAACTTGTCCCCTGTATCCCTGGGGGATGCAGTCCAAGATTCCCTAGTAGATGCCTGAAGCACCTGTTCAGGATACTACTGAGGATACCATGAGGTATCATTGTGATGGATCTTCTGTTTAAATCATGTGGCATCTTATAATTGTTCTGTGGTTACTGTTGTTCCATTTCCCTGCTGACTTTTCAATTTGGAATTTGTTTGGGGGACCTAAGAGCAGAATTCCATCTCCATTGCTGCCTGCATAGATTGAGCTGATCTGCAAGGCTGAGTAGAAGTGTTCTTTCATGTTTCTTGGTTCTTTTTATAATCTTCTGAAATATTTTAATAAAGGAAATGAAATGTGTCTTAGAAGATGTGCATTCTTCTTTCAAGGAAGGTGAATGTCTGGTTTTTGGAAGCCTATTCAGTATTGGGTAAAGTTGAGAACTCCCAAAATAAGAATTTCTAAATGTTTGTTTATGAGATTAAATTTGCAAGTTTTAAGGCACAGAGTCTCTGGTTTGTTTGACCAACTTAAAATATTTCTTACCATCCAGGAGATAAATGAACAAGCAATCAGATCTGGGAATAACAAAAGCTTGGTATACTTTAGAAAATGGATTCATTAGTTCACCAAAATTTGGGTTTGCTAACACTCCATTAGCAACAACCTAACACTCCATTAGGTTGCAGGTGCTCGTTCAACACACACATATTAGGTGACTAGTTAGGGAGACAGATGGTAAACCTCACTGACATGGAACTGAATATCTAGTGGGAAATTATTCCTTATAAAAAATGTCCAAAATAATGCATTACATTTGTTGATGGGTGCAAGTTCATGTGTGTATACTACACGATCTAGTAGATGATCCAGAATTATAATACCTAGTGATAAGTGCCCTGCACTTAGATAAACATAGATGGCAGCAGCTCCTAATTTAGTCCTGAGGGTCAAGAGAAGCTGAGGTAGTTTTAAACTGCTCTGTGACTGTCACYGATCATGTACTGAGAACTCTGGTTTTGTACTTAGCGAAACATTTCATTGATTTTAGAAGTCAGAATCACTCAGTCACAATGTCTGTTTTCACTTTAAAAATGTTCTACCAGTATAAGGAGTGGTGAAGTTTTAAAACTTAAAAGCTTCAGTGACCTTTTTGGTGGCAAACTCACTAGTCCTTACAAAGCACATTAGAAGTATATTTGGGTTGAATGAAATTCTTAACTTTTGAACCTCTTATCAAAGCAATATACATAAAGGGTGAGCAATAAAGTATCAATCAGGTTTGATATGTATGGTTTGTGACTTGGTTACCAACGGCAGCTGTGCTAATCACATATCATTTTTATCTGCACATTAAAACAAGCCCCAGGGACTTTTAATTTGCTAATACTTTCTATAGTTAGTTCAGAGATATATTTATATACAACTGCACTTATGTTTTAGATTCTATTATTTAGATTTTTTACAGCTTCTTCCTGGACATCTGCCCCCAAATAACCTAATTAGAGCTGTTTGTAATATAGTGAAGTATATATTGAGGTTATAGGAAAAAATTGTATAAAGTGAACTGTTCATCATTATGTAGTATCATAATGAAGTGTACTTCATTGTACTCTACAGTTTAGGTTTTTAATATATAGTGGCAAAAATGCTATAAAACTAACTACTATACTTCCTAATGCATTTGTAGTGTAGACTAAATACCTTTTGAAAAAAAAATAGCCTAGCATGAAGAAAGCTTTGAGTTCAATCCCTGACACTACATATATACACACACAGTAAATGAATAAAATAACATCTAAAGATTTGTCTGAAATGCTAACAGCAGCAAATTGCTATAATACTTTGTAATTGTATTCATACAGTTTAATATAAGGTAAGAATCAAAATAGCTTTGTTCTTCCATTAACCTTATTGCCTGGTTTATATTCCCTTTTTTCCAACTAGACCTCTCTGCCCATCATGAACAGTATTTTTGTTTTTACCTAGATCTGTCCCCTGTGCCCTGTGCTCTTCCCGTTTTGGAGGGCTGAATATGCTCCCACTTTGAGCTCAAAAAGTGGTCAATAACATGAGATGATTTTCTTCACTGTGCTAGTTTCAGACCAGATGTTGGAAAAAGTAGACTGTGCTTGGATATCAGTCTGAGAAAATAACTATCCACAATCCCTGTGAGAATAACTAGTTTTTCCCTGAAAACAAAAGGAAAGGGGAAAAATCTGACCTGTGTTTTGATTCCAGGAACCTCTCAAAATATCGTTACCATGTTATTTCCGCTGCCCCAGGTGACCACTGCTATTATTGAATACTCAAAGTGCTGGCAGGCTGTATCTGTTTTTAAATTCTAGCTCATTGAACTGTGTGTGGTTCCTATGAATGCTTTTCTTCAGTAGATTTGAGGGTAGAAACTAATTTCTTTTGTTTTTCTTGGAAATGTGCAAATTTATTTTTATTTCCACACCACCAAGGTGGAAGCTGTTAAATCTGCTAAACAAGTCCTGGGAAGCACAGCTCAAGGGCTATAGGAAGCTCACTCAGTTCTCTACAGGCCTCTGGGCTAATTTTAGGATGCAAGATTAGAAAGTTGCCTCTGAGGTTTTTTTTTTTAATTTTTTTTCAAAATGCCCAGATTATAGTGGCTTAATTAAAAAAATAAAAAGTGTGATTCTCTGTTTTGATATGCTTCCTGATAGACAAGCATATACGATTATATATACACTTCCTTTCTTAGGAAGCAGCCGTTCTCAATCGAGGACTTTTAAATTTCTTTTTCTTTACTTTTTTATTGAGTTTTTAATTGCCACTATGATTAGTATAGATCTTAAATGTATTGTTCAAAATAGCTTTATATATGTATGTTTACTCATAGAGACGTCTGTATAGCTGCCCAGTATTAAGAAATAGAACATTTGCACTCCCCTGAAAGTTTCCTTTCTGCCTCCTCCCAGCAGAGCCCCCACCCAAATGTATTTTTATTTGCCTTTTGCTTTGACTGCCATCCATTCTTTTTTGCCTATTCTTCATTTATTTCTTTTTTGTGTGTTACTGGGCATCGCACCCAGGCAGGGCCTCACACATGCTCTCTACCACTAAGCTACATCCCCAACTCTTTTTCTTATTTTTTGAGACAGCTCAATTTGGAACCCTTCTGCCTCAGCCTCCCAAGAGCAGGGATTACAAATGTGCACTTGAGGCTGAGTTTTACTTTTTTTTTTTTTTTTTTGTACCAGGGATTGAACTAGGGTCATTTAACTACTGAACCACATCCCCAGTCATTTTCTTGAACTTCATGTAATGGAACTATTGAGTCAGGCTTCTGTTTTCCAGTATTAAGTCCACAAGACTCATCGAGGTTATAGCATGTATGCATTTCTTCATCTTTTGCAGCACTCCATTGTGTGAATACCACACTTTATGGATCTGTTTGAATGCTGAAGAACATTTGGGTTGTCTTCAGTTTTTAGTTAATATAGCTGCACAGAACATTCTTATGTTTTGGGGTTTTTTTGGGAGGGGGGTACTGGGAATTGAATCCAGGGCTTCTAAACCATACAGCTATATCTCCAGCCCCTTTTTAATTTTTTTTTTTTTTKGAGAAAGATTTCATTAAGACCTTAGGGCCTTACTAAGTTGCTGAGGTTGATCTTGAACTTGAGATCTTCCTGCCTCAGCCTCTCAAGTCACTGGGATTACAGGTGTGCCTCACCATGCCTGTCTTACATGTCTTTTGATAGATATGTCTAATAAGTTCTTTGGGTATATATGCATGAATAGAAATGCTGCATCCTAGGTAGGATAGCTATAGATTTAACCTTAGCAGATTCAGTAGCTTTAATTCTCCAAAGCCATTGTACTGATTGCTTTCCTACCTGCAGAGTATGAGAATTCTAATTATTGCACATTGTTACCAACATTTGTTACAGTCAGCCGTTAATTTCAGTCATTCTAGTGGGTGTGCCATGATATCTCATGGCTTTAATTCACATTTGCTGGAGGACTAATTCAATCAAAGCTTGAGTTTGGTTTTTTTTTCTGTTTTATTACACACTTTCAAGCTACTGTCCCTGAGATCTTGGTTCACCGAATGTCCTGTGTTGGGGCCCAGGCAACTAGATCTCTAAAGTACCCCCCAAGAGATTCTGATGCCATCATACCTCTAGATAAGTATTATGGCATTTGCCAGGATTGCCTAACTATTTGAAGTCTCTAAGAATGTTTTTGCAGTCTATTGAAGAGAGTCAGGACAAATAAGAACTTTTTTCTACTTGACACATTAAACATATTATGTAATAATTTAAGTCTTTAATAGTTGGATTGAATAAGCTGAAGAAACTGCAGTTGGTTTCACCAACAGTTGCTACTGCTGCTGCTTCTCGTTGCTATCCATTTGTCAGATTTACCTTTATAAAATGTTCTTCCATAAAAATGGTGTATTCATTCGGGGCTGGGACTGTGGATCAGTGGTAGAGTGCTCGCCTAGCACACYCGAGGCCCTGGGTTCAATCCTCAGCACCACATATAAATAAAGGTATTGTGTGCAACTACAACTGAAAGTAAAATAAGTATTTTTTTAAACAAATGGTATATTCAGAAGTGAGAAGATGGTTGGTTATATTAGTGTTAATGATAATGAATACTCTTTATAGACTCTTATTTTCCAAGTGATACATAGATCTATTCAAAATTATTCTTTTTTAAGAAATATTTTTTGTTGTTGTAGATGGACACAGTGCCTTTATTTATTTATTTATTTAYTTATTTTTAATTTGGTGCTGAGGATCGAACCTGATGACTCACACATACTAGGCAAGTGCTCTACCACTGAGCCACAACCCCCATCCCAAAATGCTTCTTCTTAAAAGAAAAATTTTACAGTACACCAGATAAATCAGTAATCAGTAGATACAGAATAACCTTGACCTATTTACCATTAATTGCAATTCTAAAAGTAAGACTTTCACAATAAAACAAATAGGAAAAAAAACCCACAAATTTTGTATCAGCAGACACAGCCACCCTCAGAGGAAACACTCTCATCTGGTCTCCTGATAAGAACAGAGGAGCAGCTCCACAGTTTCATGACTCATGCTCAGATGCAGTAAGTCAGTGGTTCAAAAATTAACCTATGCATCAACTCCGCAAAATTCTGCTTTACCAATAAAGAGAGTAGAATTATTTCCTACTTGTGTCATTTCATTTTGTTAAATGAGTAATTCTTCTGAATATGCAGAAGCATTATCTAGCCTCCCCAACTTCTTGAGGGACCCTAACAGCAGACATGATGACTCCAAATAGGATAAAACTAAAGCTGAGGGTAGAGTGGCGTGAACCAGTTTCTAATGTTTTGGATCTCATCAAATCATAATCTACTTCTCTCCACTGAAAATTTGTACACTGAAAGGCTTTCCTTAGCAATGTTTATTAGCTTTCTAAGTATATTTCAATTAGGACTTCACTCCAGTAGCTTATTAGGCCTTTAATGAATGTTCATTATACTCTTCACGTCTTCTGAATTACGAAGTAGGAGATTATTTTTCATGCTCAAGCAAACCCTAAACCAATGTTTGGTTCTTAGAAGCTTGATACTAGCCTTCCTTAGAGCAGTAATTCAGAGGCGTGAGCAAGGAGGGGAACAGAATGGCCTGTTCCATTATTTGTGGTGTAGAGATAGGTACAAGTCAACATGTTTATAAGGTGAACAGAAGTTTTTTTGTCTTAGGCCAGTCATTAAACTGTAGGGAGAAATTGTCAGAGAATATTTAGACACTGTACAATGCTTGTATTAAAATAATGCAGAGCTGAGTTATAGTCAAATTAACATGACTGAAAAGAACCCAGAGACCAGAATGTTGAAGATGTTGTGTTTTCTGAGCCCAGGTGGTAGAGTGGTTTCCTCGGCCCTGTTGAAGTCCTGTGTGTGCCAGTATTGTCTGCAAGGGGAGGGGGTGGCTGTTAATGGATGTTTTAAGGTCTTTTCTTTCATGAGCTTGCTCGTGAACATCATGGGAATTTTTCTCCAGCTCTTTGCCTCTTTTAATGTTCATGCAGTATATAAATGAGATAATTTTGAAAAAGGAACCTTTAAATCCCAGGTCTCTTTAAAGAGGTTAAAATGCTCTGATCATTCATAGGTAGGAGATATGGAAGGTTAGAAATGAGACGGTCCCGTTGTGTTAATAAAACAAGGTCAGACTGTGGTTTCCTGGCCGGGTGGATTTTCTTTTCCCACTTAAGATGAATCACTTAATTCATTTAGGGTTTAGCCATCAAGTTTAAAAAAAGTATTAAAGGAAAAGTGTATCTATAAAAACAGTCACTAGAATTCATATGATTTTTATAGAGTGAAGGATTGTCATTGTTTAGTTTTATTTTGTTTTGGTGAGAACTAAAAATTGAGCTAGATTACTGAATTTTTCTGTGCTTCTACTATAGAGGAAAAGAGAAGCATATAAAATACACTTGTGGATACAACCTGTAGGATACAGTTAACTGCCTTCTCCTTTCTTCCTTCCTAGTGTTGTATATATTTTTTTTAAGCTTGCCTTTAAAAGGTAGATATTTTTCATGGCTCTCTTAAATCCAGAGGGATTTACTCTGAGTCACTATTTAATCTCTAGCATTTTAAATCTCCTTGAATTAAATCTGTGTATTCACAACCGCATCAAAAGAGTGAAACATTTCAGAAGGTTATGTTATATACATTGTTTTGTAATCAGCCTAGGTTGTTAGACAGGACAACAAGAGTTTGTGAGTACCCACTGAAATTATGACATCATTATGTAAGTGTCCAAAAATTTACTCTAACCATTTCTGTTCTCATCCTCCTGAAAAAGAAAGAATTCATTAACTCCTGACCTAGGGTGTTAGAGTTTGCTAGGTAAGCCTGTAGGAAGACTTGACCTTACCTGGAGCATCACAAAGATTAAAAAGTCAGAAATTAGTTCAGCCTGTTTGCTCAGACTATATTCTCTAATTGAAAGAAGTTTTCAAACCTTATGAGCATCCAGAAGGGCTCATGGAGTTCTCGAGAAGCAGGTAGAGGAGTTGGAAAAATCTCTGGCTCTAATCTCTTCTGGTTTGACAGAGAGAAGGTGCTCAGGGAGTTTCTACCTCAGATTGAAACATCCCCCTCCCCCAACATCTGTTTCTGAACCTCTRTTTGCTATTGAGTCACAACTGGGGATACAGTTACATTTAGACCTCACAATTAGAAACCTACCTTCAGCACCTGAAAGAGTTGTAAAATGAGCTAAATAGACTTGTCTATGCTGTTTATGGGAATATTATGGTTAAATACATAAGGACATTATCACAAGCAAGTATCTAAAGAAGACAGTTTACAGTGATCCCTTCTCTGGCGAATGYCTAGGTCAGGTGACCTCGATCCCATTTGATAGAACATTAATTCCCTTACCTCTTTTAACATCTTTCACGTAATGTTTTGTTGAAAAAAAAAAAAAAGTCAATTTTAACTCAGCCTTTTCTGTGCAAACATACACAGGCGACAAACAAATTTGTTTATTTATATCTGGAACATTTACCTTTATAGCCTTGTATTCCTCACCAAACTAACAGAGTATATTCCTTCTGGGCCCTTAAAATTATACTTGGTTATGTCAGTAATTRCAGAGGGATTTTATTTCTAGATTTTCAACTTGTTTTCAAATTATCTCCTTCTACACAATGTAGTTAGCTATTTTCATGTGTCTTTTCAGAACATGGTTAAGGGCTTAATAAAGTACTTCTCCTCCACTTTCCTGAAAATGCTCCTTGTGCCCACTAACTGGCAGAGAAAGCCATGAGCTAAGAGACAGGGTGAAGCCTTAAAGAAGCCCTTTCCCTGGTCATGAACAGAATCCATCAGTCTCAGAATTAAAACTGTTTCTCCCTAGTCCTGCCAGAAGTATAAAGAAAAGATGAGCAGTAGAATAAATGAAAGAGGAAAAGCAGCCCTGGGACTCAGCAGCATGTCACCGTGTCACCAAACAGGTCTCCAGCTTAGGAAGTGACATGATTTTTATCAGGGGGAAAAAACTTGCCTCGCATGCACAAGGCCCTGGGTTTGTTCCCTGGCACCACAAATAAATAAGTAAATAATCTRTCTCTTCTGCTAAGATTGTAGAGCACTTTCATTCAGTAGCCATAAAACTAAAGATTGTCTAAKTTGAGATTTTTAGAGCCCCTGGTACATTTTCGATCTCCTTGACATGAACAAATCTCTTCCTAAATGTTTCCATTTGGTAGTGTTTGTTTTAACTGACTTTGTCATGGTTATTCTGTTTTGGTGTGCTGAAGTAATTTCACTCCAAACTTAAAGTAGTTTTGCTTAATAACAACAACAACAACAGAAAAATGTTCTTAAAATGGGACGGACAGTGAGAGTTAAACTTTGGCATTGCAGATCCCGTGAAGCCACCTGGYGGCTCCCTGCAAGCACCAGCTGATTCACCTTTTGCTATAAATACGGCACCACCATCTGTCCAGGTGGATCCATCCTCCACAGCTCTACCTCCTTCCTATCAGCTAATCAGCCTTCCACCACACCCGGAAACTCTTGGCATCCAGGAGGATCCTCAAGACTACCTCTTGCTGATCAACTGTCAAAGCAAGAAGCCTGAACCCACCAGGTAAGTCGTTTGTGCCTCTGTGTGTGCGTGCGTGTGTGCGTCTATGTGTGTACATTTTAAAATCTTACATTTAAACTTTTCAACCTTGACTTGAAGGCTTGAAAGAAGCCATCTCCATAGGCTTACCTAGTGGCATTGTATTTCAGGCCTATATCCCTCCAATTAATGATTTCTGATATTCAGGAGGTTTTATTGAAGAAACATAGTCTAAGCTGTCTGTGGCAGACACTTGTACTTCCAAGACTCTTGTGAAGACAGGCTACTGTTTCAGTCTTTCTTAGAGACTTGCAGTATTACTTGCTTAACAGAGTTCACTGATTTGTAAATGGTGATCTTGCTCCATTTCTTATGTGATTATAAACCAGCCATGGGTCATCTTTTGTTTCTGAAGAAGGAGAGGAATACCTGCTACTAGAAGATTTTGAAAGCAAAACGATTCCATTGCAGTGAGTGTGTCATAGTTCTTTTGGTCTGTGTGAGCAATTATTCTTACAGGTAAAATCCCAATATGGCAGATTCTATGGAATTATAAAATTGGAGTTTAGAGAAATTTGATGATATTACATGTAATGCTTAAAGCAATGAAACTTTCAAATCTTTATACCAAACATTGAAGCAGCACTTAGCCCAAACCTTGACCTGTCAAATTTCTAAGTAGAAAGAAGCATATGGATTGCGGTGCTTGACCACAGGGGCCATAAGTCCTTCCCCAATCCCTGGGTAGCCTGCCATCTCCCTCCCTCCTCCCACACTTCTCTCCTCTTACAAGCTGTAAGSTAATTTTAATTTGATCATCCTTGACCTTTGATGTCGTCGTGGTTGGAGGCTTAAAGTGACAGAGGGAGTTTGAGACAGTTGTTTTACTCTTTTAAAAGAAGCAAGAAAAGGATCTCTGCCATTAACAGCCATGTGGCCATTAGTGACATCACCATCAAGTGGTATATTTATGAGCAGTATAAAAGTGGGGTGACTTGCATATTAGACTGGAAAGGTGTTTTTGAAACAGTTGTAGCATTCCACTGTCATGTGTAACTAATTAGAACAAATTTTAAAAATTAAAAAAGCTGTAAGTTATTAAGTCTTATTGCTTTTATGACATAAAAAGCTTTCATTTAAAAAGCCATTATTAACAAAAATTTAAGTAGGGTTTGTTAAAATCCACATAATAGTTTCTGCAAACTATTTCCCAAGGCGACAGAAGCCTCTCACAAGCATTCCAAAGATGTTTTTTTATATATTTGTTGTAATGGGATTTTACCTGTAAGAGCAAGAAAATTTTATAAATCAACACTAGTTAACAATATCAAATTCTAACTTGATTGTGCTTGTTTGCTGTGAGAATTTAAAATTACACACTTGCAACTTTGTTTCCTGTGCTACTAACGAAGATTTTACTTCTGGAAATTCACTTTTTAAAACCAACAGCAAAATGACAGGTTTCAGAACATTTTTTTTTTCCTTATGTTAGTGTCTTTCATTGATTTCCCTGGTTTCAGAGTATTTCTGTTGCAATGTAAATTATGCTTCAAATTATGCTTTAAATCATCACCCAGATATATTTTGCCATCAGTATTTTGTAAAAGTGACAGTAAGACACAGTCCCCTCAGATACAGTCACCTTTGGAGTTTGTAAGTGAAGCTTATTAAGAAGTCCAAGAATAGAAGCATTAAGTATTTATATGTTCATGTTCAGTGCTCCCAGCTCAGACAAGAGCTCCTCTAGGAAGTATTTTCCCCAAACTTGTAGGTTAGATTAAATGTCTTTCTTGAGTTTTTGTGCTCAAATGGTTTCCCTATATCTCTGTTTTATCATAGTATTGGAAATAGCTTGGTAGTTTTATTTTTCTCCACTAAACATTAAATGGCAGTAGGAAGTTTTGCTTACCACTAATTATACCCCTAACATCTCTTAGCTTCTCCATTCATGAAAATTCTAGATTATGCAAATTTTAGATTATGCATAGGTGCATTCAAAATTYCATCAAGGAATGGTCTAAGTGTTTCTAAGATGAAGAAAACAGTGAGAAATCTCTTCAGAAGAGTAGGGTTTGACCTGAACCTAGTTGGTGTAAGAAAAGGAGCATATCATTAGTAATTCATAAGAAAATTTCTTGGGGTAAAAGAGATGTGAGCACAGTAGAAAGAAGATGAAAGGAGAGCCTGCTTGGGGAGAGGTTTGATTTGGGGAGGAAGAGGACATGGAACATGGAGCCAAGTTATATTTGTGGCTTTGTAGTTCCCACAGCCTGGAGGGACCTAATGGGTTTTCCATTGAGGATTTGAATAATATAAAAACTCTATTTTGAAAATATGTCTCATAGCAATGTGGTCTGCTGGATGGATTGGAAGAGGGAAGGCCACTTAGGAAGGTTCAGTACAGCAGATGTCACCAGAACTATATGAACCCAGAATTCACCAAGAATACACAAGTAGAAATATCAGTTCGAAAATATGGAACTCAGGATCTGGGGAGAATATGGGATTTGTCAGCATTTAGAGAAGAAAGTAAATGTGTGAAAAACAGGTTTTTTCTAGCAGCATGTGTGATGACTAAAGGCCTGGACTCTGTTGGCCATTTTCATCTGGAAAGGCACAGGGGGCGGGGCTAGTCACTGAAAAGAGGGCAATGATCAGGGAAGGAGAAGAAACATTGGGTTAGCACAGTATGGGTTCTCTGAAACCCTGGGGTGAGAGTTTCAGTGGGTAAATGTACTGTACAATGCCGATGTTACTAAGCAATTAGGGAAGATAAGCACTTTTTAAAAAATCTCAAGTTATTTAGAAAAAGAGTTTAAATTCCTGCAGGACTTTGGACAACGTGTATGGGTAGTTCAGGTATCTTGTTTGTATGGTCAGCTTCATCATGGCTTAAACCAGTTTTGTGATACCTCAGAATACAGAGATGGAAAATGTACCCAAAGCAGAGATACTCTCAAATGAGAAATATCGAGGTTGTCATCTGGAGTTGGTGAACTCTACCTCATGTATTTTGATCCTCTCRTAGAGTTAACTATAAATTTATTAAAGGAAATTAGGATAAGGGAAGATATGGGGAACCCATTAAGTTGCCCCCTCCTTATGGGTCTCGGTGGACTTCCTCAGTACCAGGCAATCATTTGGCGTTTAGTTCTGCAGAGTCACAGATTTGTCAACTTGATGAACTGGACGGGCACCAGGCGTCTGCATGTTCTGACRGGAGACTTCTCTTGTCCCTGTGCCTTCTTCATTTTCCTTTCCCAGACACTCACCATATCTGTCTCATGCAGGGCTTTAGGGACTGTGGTTTTTTGTTTTGTTTTTGTGGTGCTGGGGATTGAACCCAGGGCCCTATGCATGTGAGGCAAGCACTCTACCAACTGAGCTATATCCCCAGCCCAGGATGGTGGTTCTTATGTGTGAATTTCATAGGGAGCCTTGGGGAAGCGGGCAGGTATAGGGAAGAAATTACTACGCTGCTGGTGGTGTGTGGTGGTGGTTTTGTTGTCTTGTAATCATACAAAAAMTAAAGAACATTTGTGCTTGAAATCTACAGATCACACAAAAACAATCTAATGGGGGATAAGAACAGATGTTTTGATTGCTAAGCTCTGAATATGTTTACCAAAACTGCGTTCTTATTCTTGACCCTGTTATATTTTGTCATTAACACTTTTCATGTAGAACCCACGCCGATTCTGCAAAATCCACCTCTTCTGAAACAGACTGCAATGATAACGTCCCTTCTCATAAAAATCCTACTTCTTCCCAGAGCAAACATGGAATGAATGGCTTTTTTCAGCAACAAATGATGTATGATTCTCCACCGTCACGTGCTATGTCTGTCTCTGTGGACTCCAGTCTTTACAACCTGCCCAGGAGTTACTCTCACGACGTTTTGCCAAAGGAGTCTCCATCGAGTACTGAAGCAGATGGAGAACTTTATGTTTTTAACACCCCACTGGGGACATCCAGTGTAGAGACTCAAATGAGGCACGTTTCTATTAGTTATGACATTCCTCCAACACCTGGTAATACTTACCAGATTCCACGGACATTTCCAGAAGGAACCTTGGGACAGACATCCAAGCTAGACAATATTCCAGATATCCCTCCACCTCGGCCACCGAAACCACATCCAGCTCATGACCGATCTCCTGTGGAAACGTGCAACATCCCACGCACGGCCTCAGACACTGACAGTAGTTACTGTGTCCCTACCACAGGGGTGCCGCCGTCACGTAGTAATACCATTTCCACCGTGGATTTGAACAAATTGCGAAAAGGTCAGCTTTAGTTAGTTTTTACCCTACTAGAGGTTAATGACAGAAAATCTGTTTTTCCAACTAATTGTTCTTTTAAGTGTAGTATGGTGTTCAATGGTAGCCTATTTTTTCCTTCAGCTCTGCAGAAAGAGCTGGTGTAGCCAAGATCTGAGAGTCTCAGTGGACCAGGGAAGGCTATGTGTGCATGAGTGAGGGTGTGTGTGTGTGCGCGTGCCCCCTCGTGTGCTCTGCTGGATGGGAGCAAGCTGGAGCTGCCCACTCGTGGAGAACATGGCCCTCTTGATGCCCCTCCCACTTTCCCTGCTCCTGGGTGCATAGGCTGTCTGCTAAAACAGGAGCAGGAAATGGACCAGCCACGAAGCCTCTCCAGGCTTACTCTTTCCTGTGTTTGTGTGCCATTATGGTCACTTCTGTGTCACATCTGGGCTCTGTTTCCTTCCTTCCTCTATAAGTAGTTTTCATGTCGTGTCTAGCAGGTGATCATTCTGTTACAGTCAAGCCCTTGTGCATTTTGTTTCTTTGAGGTCTATCTGATTCCATGGTTCTGCACTCTCCTCTTACCACTGGTCACTACAGTTAACTGCTTGTGTCTATTACTTTTCTTACACCTTTTCAAAGAGCCTGCAGTCAGAAATTAGAGCCCTTAAACAGTTGGTGAAATGGGTTTGGGTTATTCTCTGAGATTCTTCAAGTCCTAAATATAGAAAGCCCAAGTTTTTGATGCACATACTCTTTAAAACGATGTAGTAAAATCTCACATTAGAGTTTTTCTGGCTAGCTTAAAAAAGAAAAAGATTTAATGTATCCTAAGAAATATTTTGTCAGTACTTACTTCTCATTCAATATCAGTTTCTAAATCTCTTCTTCATGCATTTGGGTAGCCTAGTTATAAGTTAGTGAGATAGAAGTTAGGCCAAAGGTTCAATCTCATAATCAGATGTGGATGTTGTTTGTCATATAAGTAATGTGTCTGCATTTTCTGGTAGTTTTGTGTGCCAGTGTGAAGTAAATTCTGTGAGCATCCCTCTAAATCAGGGTGTGCAGAGAAAGAAAGAGAATAGATCGTTCCTGATTGCCCTGAGCAAGGCAAAGATGGAAAATGCTGATATAGTTTGTTCTTTATTCTAGATGCTAGTTCTCAAGACTGCTATGATATTCCACGAACATTTCCCAGCGATAGATCTAGTTCACTTGAAGGCTTCCATAACCACTTCGTAAGTATACATGACCTTAGCATTGTTGAGTGTATTTCATTGTCAGAGTCTTCCCACTAAGTACCTTGAGACTCATTGAGATCACAAAATGAAAGTACCTTCAGATTCATTGAATGGATGTGACAGTTGTATTTTCATGTTTGACAATGGTTTTTGTTTATTAAAAGAAATGTATGTGTGTTTTAGAAAATCAAAAATGTGTTGACAGTGGGAAGTGTTTCAAATGATGAACTGAATGAAAACTACGTCCCAATGAATCCCAACTCGCCCCCACGACAGCATTCCAGCAGTTTCACAGAACCTATTCAGGAAGCCAATTATGTGCCAATGACTCCGGGGACATTTGATTTTTCTTCATTTGGAATGCAAGTGCCTCCTCCTGCTCATATGGGCTTCAGGTCCAGCCCAAAGACCCCTCCCAGAAGGCCAGTACCTGTTGCAGACTGTGAGCCACCCCCAGTGGATAGGAACCTCAAGCCCGACAGAAAAGGTAAGAGGAACATGCCAAGTGAGAGGATTGGGGAGTGTGCTAAGTTAGAGCTGAAGTTAGCGTCTTGAAATATTTCCTCTACCTTGGACATCAGTTTACAAAGCAGTACTGCTATTTATAGATTAGCAACCTGCACTGATGCCCAGGTGAGATTTGTAAATCTCTCATCCCTATGTCAAAGGAATACCCAGGCAACAGGGGAGAATTAGGAGAAACTGGAATGCCCTGCCCCCTCTATATGGGGTTATGACTTGACCCCTACTCGGCTGCAATCTTTTTTTTTCTTCACGTTATACATTTAATGGGAGGAAATAAAATGTTATACAAACAGTCTGATACATAAAATGTTATTTTTTAGATCATACATTTTAAATCTCTACATGTTCTTGTGATGCTTCCTAAAGTAGCTTTTAACTGGATTTATTAGTAGATCCTGGGGCGGGAAGCTGTAACTGATTCAGATTCAAGTCAAGTTGGCAACATCTTTTCTAGCTTTGAGGGTGTCTGCCATCCCCCCTGTGGATCTCCTGGCAACTGCAGGTGACAAAGTGACAGRTGCTATGGCAGAGACTTGTGAGCCATCTGAGCAGATGAGAGGGAGCCTAGAGACTGGTCCCAAGATGGCCTGAAATCCTTTTTTGACTTCCGAAGCTGTGGGCTCATACCAGCAAATCTCCTGGTGTAACAAGAGAACCCAGAAATCTAGGATTTTGTGTATATTATCTCTTGATGATACAGAGATTATCAGACCAAGCCCAACACTTCTACAAGKTGTATATGGCCTTTAATTGCTACTTGGTGTAACCTCTTCTTCAGAGAGTACACAATCAAATCAGATTTAGGATTATTTACAACGTAAATAATAATTGACGTAATTACAGCTTTCTATCTACCCATGTAACAACTTTTTAAAAATTAGTTTGCCTTGGCTGGGGAATAAATAAATGCTTCTAGTTTACTCTTTTTACTGGACATCGTAAGTAACATTAAATTCTATAGCATAGTTCATTAAAAGCTCTCAGTAAAAGAAACTTTTTAGCCAAGTTGGGTAATATCTACTCAGGTTTTCAAAATTTATGTGTAAGTCATTTAGACACAAACAACCTGCTTCTGTTGCAGCATGCTGTTGGTGTGACTTAATCTTGACAGCCAAATAAATTAGCATCCAGGTGATGAGTGATACAGCTTCTGGCTTAGTGCAGGGGTTGTCAGCACGTTGAAAAGCCTCCTGTGCTATATGCAATTTTTAAAGAATATGTAATGTCTGTGTGTATTTCTCATTAACTAGATTATTAGTAATAGTTTTAATTAAGTTCCAGTTGAGGGGACCACTGAGTAGCAATCAGACTAGCTTAAGAAAAATGTTTTGGTTTGATTTTGAAGTAGGGGTGTAACGGTGCCGGAAGAAGGCTCTAAGGGGAGACTGACACCATCCTGGGTCCTGCTCTCCCTGTGCTCGGGCTCCTGGGAAGTCGTGGCCTCTGCTTTGTTCTCTCTAGCATTCTCCCTTCTTTTCTGAACTCGTGATCCTCCACCGGAGGAGAGGTGTGCTTTCAGAAAGCCTTGGCCTGGAGCGCCCGCTGTGGCCTCTGTTCTGCCCCCTGTGGCCTCTGTTCTGCCCCCTGGCTTCTTCTCAGGAGCACTTGCAGCACCCATTCAGCTTCTAATTGCCTCCTTCGTTATTCAGTCCCTTTGGAGTGCTTAGACATGACGGGGTTGCTCTAATATGACTGTATAGAAATAACTATATAGCCCTCCAGACTTGAAGTTAAAATACCTCTTATTCCTGACTTTATCATGTGAGTGCACTGTAACCAGGAAGGAAGACTGAAATTCTGAAAAATGCACCATCTCTAATTAATGGAGGCCGATTCCCATGGTAACTGTCGTGATCCCACTAATTTGACTTTTCACACTGGGCCACGTGATAGATCAAGGTCAGCCCACAGACTGACTGCTGATGGCTCAGGTGTCTACCTGGGGACCCTGAGCTGTGAAGAAAGAGGTTAGGGTGTGTGTGTCAGGGGTTTTTATTCAGTAATATTTGCTTCTGTTTCTCTTGGTCTTCAGTTGTCTCTAATTCTTATTGTAGACCTTAGTCAGATTCTTCTTTGCAGACAGTATACAAAAAGCATTTCTAGACATGGATGAATTTATAGTACATTTGTAGATCTTGGAAGGATTGAGATACAACCATCATGACCTCTGAAATATTGAAATGTCTTTTTAAATGTTAACCTGGGGCTTTCCGCGTTTAMCTTGGTTCGTGATGGCAGCAGTGCTCTACATTCAACCCCAGACTTAACAGTTTTTTATCTTGCGGTCCCACGTAATGTGGAGGTGGTTCAGTTTGGGGAAGGGTACCAGGCTGTATGTCTGATTTAGCCTGTGTTTCCCGTGTTATTTCATAAGTGGCCACTTTTTGCTTCAAAATTGTGTCACCTGGTGAATGCAGTGAAAGTACCATGCACTGTAGTACATGAGAGTTCAGTTGTCCTAGTTCTTCCAGTCAACGGTTCTCTGTCACTTGTCGAGATTGTGTTCATTTTTTTAAAAAAATTAGCAGGGAGAGAAAAAGGCCTGCTGGTGTAGCTCGGTGTTAGAGCACTTGCCTAGCATCTGCAAGGCCCTGGGTTCCATCCCCAGCATCATAAAAATCAACTGATCTATTAATTTAATTAAAGTTATCTGAACCATTCAGAGTCCACCCTGAACTCACTGGTCGGATTATTTGTTTGATATATTTGCTTAGTTACAAAATGAACTGGTAAAGTGTGCCCAGATTAAAACACCCGTATAGTTTTTAGCAAAACCAGGAGCTGTTTTAGTTAAATAGTAAAGAGGTAACTCAAATCATACTATTAAAATTTTTTTTCTTTTCCTTATACCTTTATACTTTGAAATAAATATAATACAAGAAAGGAGGCATGAGAAAATACTTAATGTGGCAGGGAAAGCTTTGTAAAGTTATAACCATTAAAGAAAACATTGTTGAAACCCAAATTCAGATCTCAGAGCCAAGTTTATCCTTGAATCAAAACTGTAAAACCAACTGTCTTACTTGGTTGTGAAATCCTTCTCGTTATTCATTAGCATCAGATGAGTGTTTTAATTTCAAATTCTGTGACATCAGATGAATGACTTAATCTGTCTTCCAGTATCTCTTTTTAAGTGAAACTCATAAGAAAACCTTTCTGTGAAATAGGGCTCAATTAGTTTTGGAGCCCCGTAATACTAGTTTGACACCCAGGATAACTGAGTTTTGTGATTTTTCTTCTTAGAAAGGGCCTACAGCAAGTGAGTGACATTCTGGTCTTGTTTACTAGYCCAGTTTTAGACATCAGCTGCTGTAGTTTGGAGTACATATGAGTTTTTCAAATACTTCTGGGGTAACTGAAACTGCAGAAATACATACAGTGCTGATATCTGATGTTTTATCAGGAACCCTTGGCTGTCATCCAGTGCATGGTAGCTACATTTTCATCAGACTCTTTCTGTAACTCTAGTACTTACTGTGTACCAAATGTTACATATATTAATAGAAGAGGAACATGTTTAGCATATTGTGTAAAATGCTGGGAAAGCAGATACATCACAAGGACAGGACAGATTGTTTTGATTACTTCAACTCAAAGTTTTATTTTTCTACTGGAAAAGTAATTTTGTAAAGTTTGGAAATTTTTTGTAAGATTACCTATCATGTTTTCTCAAATGAAGTCATTATATAGTTGTACCATATTTAATCCCTAAATATACCCACGCCCCATCACCCTCATCCTGCCTCTAACACGATACAGCAGCTATCTGAACACCAAATGCAGTCTTTATATTTTATTCAATTTTGTTTATTCATGCCGCTCTGTAGTAGCTTAGAACATTAGTTATGGTGTTGATTTTTAAAAAGCAGTGCAGGATTTCTTATGGTATTTTTGTACCTGGTTTGGTTAAAGTATGTTCAGGTCTGCGACCTTACCTTGGTGAAGGAAGTGTCCAGAAGACTAATCCCAGGGAGCTCCTACCCTCCTTGCGTCTGTTTTTGGCATAGTGATGTATTTAGACATTTTTTTTTTCCTCCAAGAGATCACCTAAAGAAGTTTTCAACTGTARTTAAAAAATAACATGCTTTAAAAAACAAAAAAGATAAGACTACATTTTTATAATACTCAGCACAGGGGCTGCTGATTAGAATAAGCAGCATCCGCCAATTTTTCCTCAGAGCAGAAATGAGACTGGCTCAGATATTTGGGGGGTGAATGAATGATACGATATTGATATTTATCAATATCTTGATAAATAGGTGTTAAAGTTTGTGCTTTGAGTTAAACTTGTTGCAGTTTAAAGGAAATAAGTATGGAGCTCCTTTTTACTCCATACTTATTGTCATGTGGGGTTTTTCCTAAGTATTCTTGGCCTGCAAGTATGATTACCATCATTGCATCATTATATTCATCTTTATACATCGAGACCATTACAACAAGTATAAACATTTTTCAGAACTCTGCCTTGACTTTTTAGAATACGCAGAGGAGGGGCTGGAGTTGTAGCTCAGTGGTAGAGCACTTGCCTAGCATGTGGGAGGCACTGGGTTCAATTCTCAGCACCACATAGAAATAAGTAAAATAAAGGTCCATCAACAACCAAAAATGTTTTTTAAAAATAGAATTAGCAGAGGATAATAATCTTGTGAATTACTCTTCTTTTTTGATTTTGATGCTGCCCCCTGAAAATAGTAGCATCATCTATAAAGCTTTTGGATAAATAAATACTGTAGGTTATGTCAGACCTGTAATAATACAGAAGGTAAATAAAATGTCCACATTGAGTTCAATGTCTGTGAGCATTACCTACAAGGACACCTGGTGTGTGCACTTTTCAGAGAAGATTGCATCTACTCAATTGAAATGTGGACTCTCGTGACAGCCTTGACCATATTGGAGATGACCCACTTCTGAAATACATTCAGTTGTTACCTTTTCACTTTTAAAGGACAAGCAACATGT